AAAAAAAAAAAAAAAAACTCCCCTACCCACGGTGGGAAAAAAATTAATGTAAAATTAGTAGCAATAGAACACTTGTGTAGTATACAGTGTTAAGCAATAAATTTATACTTAAAAGTTAAAAAATATAATTTTTTATTTGTATTTTTTTAATATTTCTTAAATTTTATTTAATCTCTTATAAATTTAAATATAAAGTATATTTTATTTGAACAATATGGTTAGTGGGTTAAAATGTTACTTATCTTTGTTTTTTGACTTTGTTGGACTCAATTGATGGGAAATTGAATATGGGCATTCTGTCTTGTTAGTGTATCATCAATTTTTCTTATATTAATTTAATTTTTTTTTTCAGGATGGGTTGTTCAATTGGAAAAGTGATCATACATGAAAATAGAAATCTTCACAACAATGAAAACAAAAACAGCATAATGCTCATGTGATCAAAGGCAGAGAGGGAGTCTCTTCGGAGACATCCGCGAGAAAAATTTTCTTAGCCCTTGCGCAAGGATGACACACATAAATCGATCAAAGGAAGAGAGGAATGATATGTAAAAAATAATTAGGAACAACGGCTAACATAAATTTGTTTACTATATGATCATTTGTGTATAAAAGTTTGAAATAATATTTTTATGTAATTTTTCTTTTAATTAGTTATAAATAGGGAAAGCTATTTCAATTATAATGTTATTTGAAAAAAAAAAATGATAACTAATGTGAATTCTTGCACCTACAAGAAAAATTTTCAAAGATGGTTTCACTATGGCATGAATTGAAGGTTGTGATTTCATTTTCTAGTTGATTTTATTCTTAGTTTCACTCATGCCCTTTACCCCTTGTTAGTGGAATATGATTTGTGATTAGTCAATTTTGGCATTTTAGTGAGTTGACCCGTCATAATTTTTTTAAAATGTATATTTTTGTCACGAACTGTCGCATTTTTATTTATCATATTTTTTAGAGTATGATACTTTGGTTTTAAAATACATAATATCGATTAAAAAAAGTATGATTGACTCACAATTAGGCATGTCTGACAACAACCTTGATATTGAATATTAATTTTCAAATTGATTGATTAATTAAATTTTATGAGTTGAACTAATTAAAAGTAAAAAAAAAGAATGAAAAAAAATTATTTATTATTATTATTATTTTTTTTTTATAATTGATTATATTATGCATGAAAACATACAACAATTTAAATTCCAGTTTTTAATGTGGACATGGTAGATCACCTGAATCATTTTTAATGTGCTACCAAATATTTAAAAGAAAGCTGACAGTTTATTCAATTTTGACAGACTAATGTAATAATAATAATAATAATATGTGGGACAATACAAAAAATATGGGGAACCCATTTGCATAAATGCATGGTGGATTGATGGAAAGATTCATGTTTAAAATACTTACAGTGAGTGTTTGACCAAACTTTTATTATTATTTTTATTTTTATTTATATATATATATTTATATATTTAATATTTGATTTTTGAATGGTGGCTCATAAATACATTTTAAAAGAATTTTAAATCTTACACGCAAAATCTGAACAGACAGAGTTCGGTTTGTTTTAATGTTATTGATTTTGGTTATTTATAGTATTTTCAATTTTTATGGAGATTTGATAATTTTTAATTGTATTGGTTACATATGTATACAATTGTCTTTCGGAGAATGCCAACGAACGACTCGAACGAATAATGTTGACGAATGATCCAATTAAACAACGAACACAGATCACGAACAAAACCTCAAACAAGAAATTAATATAGATTAACAAAGTCGAGACACATGAAACAAGCTCGTTTGGCTCGCCCGACAATTTGTCAGAGACAGAATGCTTCTGAGTCTAACAATATTTTAGCTATTTAAACTTAGAATTAATTTTTCATTCGTACTAATATGATTCTGAGAATTTTATAAATTTTTTAGTTATGAAAATGGAACCGTGAAATAAGTATAAATTTTTTTTTTCCTTAAATAATCAATTTAATTACATCCAAAATATTTTCTAAAAAAATATCATTATGATCAATAAATAAAGAATTACACAGCTTCGGAATAAATCTATTATTTATACCCTCGCATTAAATTTGATGTACCCGAATTAATTTCACTTTGTACAACTCTGTGTTTCAAAATCTCAAAATAGCACATCTAATTTCAAAGCAGAAACTGTGTAAGAAATTTAAGGGTGGTCCAAAAAAAATCCAACAACTATCACCATTTTTATAAATTTCCCAAGCTGTATGGTGAAATGCTACATTTATTTGTTGATTTATTTATTTATTTATGAGACCCTCACTAATATATAATTTCCAAATAAAAGCTTCTAAAATCATGAATTTATGAACCTGACCCTAGAAAAAATAAATAAATAAATAAAATAAAAAATTAAATAGTGTGTATTTCCTATTTTTTTTTTTGTACATGGACCTTTCGGTTTCCGAATCCACAGGGGAACCGACTAATCCGGAATCGAGCTGGGTAGGATCACAAGGGCGACAAAGCTCTCCCTCAAGAGTTTTAACACTGTTGCATTCTCAGGGCTTGAACACGAGAACACTGGTTAAGCTGGAAGACACTCAAGCCATCTCATCCAAGCGCTCTTAGGTTGTATTTCCTGTTCAGTAATTGCTTGATCAATTATGCATACTCTGACAATGATATACAGCTGGAGCTGGTTTTGCTTGAATAAATAGTGTGCATTGAAATTGCAGTGTTTTAACATTTTTTGGGCCAATTTTACAGTTATCTGCTGAACAATTGCCTGAGATTTATAACAGATTTGGCATAAATAAATGTAATGAAGCTTCATGTTAGAGAATCTTGTAAATATTTCACAATCTTTATGATAAAATCTAATAAATTCTTGAAATTATTTGGCCTTCTCACACCTGCAAGAAAATTTACTATCATCATTACAATATTTTTTGAGGGGGAAAAGGTGAATCAATGACAATAATGGAGAAGTTGCATTCTTGAAATTCATTACAATATTTTTGTGTAGTTGATTATAGAGTAAAAAAATCTACATATGTTGTTTTCTCTTCACAATGTAAAAGAAAAAAAATCGATGGCCTACATTTAACTCTTGAACAAAAAAATCTACGGATATCGTTTTTTTCGTCACAACATCCTAATCGCCTCGTGAAAAGCTGATCGCCTCACATGAACTAAATGGTAAAATATATACTATTAACATATATCGGGCAAATTTAAATAGCTCGTAATTGCAAGCATAGAAATATAGAAGATATATATATATATATATGCTGTGGCTTTCATGTTGTGTATCTGACAATTTGATATACAAAGGTGATTGAGCTTTTTATATGCAGTATGCTTGTATGATCGATCACATGTTATTTTGCATATAGAAACAAATTTGACTATATATTTGTTTGAACATTAATTTTAACCAACTTTGTTCCCAAGAGAATTGGTCTTCGTCTGACAGCAATCTCCAGTTTTATCATGGCCAAGCTTCATAGCCATATTGCCATCAAATTCTCAACAAACATGTTGAGACATCAAGACTTTTGTGCACTGCACTCCTCTCCAACTAAATTTATCACAAAGAAGCAAGAAAGGCATATTAAGTGATAAATGAAGAACATAAGTAAAATATGGAATAGCCTCATTTGCGAGACCCATTTTGATCCATCATCGAACATTGCACATGCCACACAACATGGTAAACACCGGAAAGGCTTCCAGATGGAGTTCCTTACACATCAAAACATATGATTGACGATACATTTATAACAGATAAAGGAAAGGGCTAATAATCCTACTAGTACCAAAAAATGCTCATTAGTACGGAAAGAAACAAGAGCAACCGGCCATCATTTCTCGAGATATCGATCAAAGATCAGTAAGTAATCAGAGGCGATCCACTGCAATGCACATCAGAGGACTCGGCCAGCCTTTGCCTAGGAGATAAGGTATTGCTAGCTGCAGCATCAACATCAGTATTATTAATAGTTTTCCTCTTTTGAGTATCACCCTTCATTTTTTCCTCTGTTTCCTCAGACAAGATATGCTCTGATGATGCCAAATAAGCCTGATCTTCTGCAACCACCGATGCATCATCTGCAGCGTATAATATCCTCTTTATTACTTCAACCACCTGCAGCATATATAAAAAATGAAACTTTATAAGAATTCATCTTTTCCAATGATATAAATCATCACACTAACAGGAAAAAGAAAAAAAAAAAAAACCCAAAATATCTATAATGTAATCAGTACAGGCATTTTTTCGAAATCAGGGTTCTGGCACATGATCTCTATATCCCTCAGTTTTGCAAAGTAGAAATCCCTCTCCTTCTCCAGACTATCGACCGATAGTTTTAATTCTGTAATCTGTTAGACAAGCAGAAAAATGAGATAAGACGCTAATGTTCTAGATACAAGCAAAAAAAAAAAAAAAAAAAGATAAACAAAAAGGACCATGCTCGAGATATTTGACCTGTTCCTCAAACATTGTTCGTTCTGCTTCGGGCAAGAAGGGAGGAGGTGGACCGCTACTTGAAGATGGTCTGGCAGCTTTAACAGATTGACCCCCTGTGCTGGCATGAGATGCCTCTGTCCTTCGACTGTTTTGAGAGGCGTGTTTGGGTCCAGATACGGTATTTCTAGCAGAAGCTTGTGACGCTGTGGATTTCTTGCTCACCTCTTTCCCGCCCTTGGATGCTTCTCTCCTTTCCAGAGGGTTGTAACTAATACAGGCAGCAGTAGAACAAGTGAAAAATAATTTGGTTCCATAAACATTTCCACATCTTTCATGCAAAGTTCGCTTGCAAATATGAAATATTGTTCCACGAAACATCGTATTGTAATTCTGTCTAATGTATATGAAAGTATGTATAACCCGCAAATCACGGCCATTCAGGGGTCGATCCATATGCACCAAAGAATCATCGTGATTCCAATTTTAATAGTCTTTTTAACTTCTCTCATTCATCGAGAATTTGATTTTAATGTCAGAAGCTCAATGGCTATGCAATAAGCCACTAGCTCAGTCATTTTAATTCCCTAACCCCAAGTGAATTACAATAAGGTAGAGATGACTGAAGATGGCAAAAAACATGTTGATAAACCAGTTATCAGGACAAAATATTCAATATTTGAAATGTTTCGACCTCACCAATGTCATAGCTGAGAATGAAGCATAGCAAAAGGTCCCAATGCTAATACTAAGATTCATAATAGGTTAATTACAGTTGTCAGTGGAAGACTTTACAGTTCAATGCAAATTAAAGAAAAAAAGCTACAATGAAGTTACATAGAACAGTACACTTCGTTTAACCAATAGATAGTAAAAGATGAGGATAACTACAAAGCCAATCACAAAAGGTTTAATAGCCAATAAACACAAATTTGCATATAGCTTTCACAAACACAAATCAACATGCCAGCCCTTCTGGTACATTTTGACAGATAATTTCCGCCAGTCTAGCAAAAGAAAAACATCAAAACTTTTAAGTCCCAAAAGTTACCTGTTCATGTGCCCTCCGTTATTCGAGTCACAGTAACGCTTCATCCATTGCATAAATTCCAAATTGTCCAGTGGTCTTCCTTTGATCAATTTATTGACCTCGATATGCTGTGTCCAAATAACATACGAATCACAAAAACAGCAATTCCAATCCATTTATCGTCACCTACTCCTCCTTAGTTAGTTCCTACTCCTCCTTAGTTATTTCCTACTACTCCTTATTTCTTTCCTCCTTATTTCCTACTCCTCCTTAGTTAGTTCCTACTCCTCCTTACTTATTTCCTACTCTTCCTTAGTACAACATTGGTTGAAACAGAATTCAGTAACAATCAAGCCAGATAACGATTTAAAATCTCTTACTTGAAACGCATCAACCAGGTAAATTAATCCAGTAAAACAGCAGAACGGAGGAAAAAACTCACAGGTAAACGGATTACACATTACCTTGTTGATCTTCAATTTGTTGAAAACATCCTGAAGCACCTTGTAGTTCTGGATCATCTCGTACTCGTTCTTTGCATCGAAATTGACCTTGTGCATCGGCACCATTCCCGGGTGAAGCGCATCCATAAGCTGGCACTGGACGGCACCGGTACAAGCCTGCACGATTCTCACAAACAGAACTCAGTAACAGCAAAACTAAGCAACTGAGTTTCGAATAAAAACGAAGATCACTGAGTGAAACAATTAGGGATTGCAATTTCTACCTCTTCGACCTTGGAAAGGTTGAGATGGAGGGTGGAGTTGATCCATGAAAGGATTTCCGATCGGCCGACAAAATAAGCGGAGTCCATCATCCCGATGTTGGTCGCCATCTTCACGGATTCCTCGTCTGTAAAGAGCTTTGTGTTTGTTTGTGAACTGTGTGCTTGCGATACAGAGAGATGGGGACGAAATGTGTGTGTGTGTGTGTGTGTGTGTGTGTGCGTGTTTGAAATGAGCGTTGGAGCGGGAGTTTATTCTCTCCTGGAATTCAAAAATCAGGGTTAAGGGCTATTTTCCAACTGGGCCTAGGTTAAAGGATTGGTTGGCCCACATTGGAGTGAATAATTCGGCATACGGCCCGCTAGTGGCCTGTTAGTGATAATAATAATAGCCAATTTGCCCACATACATCACATAATCACAAATAATTACAAAAATATTAAATGGAAAATTATTTGCACATTTATCAAAATTAACATAATATTTAGATAAATATTAGCTATTATAAATCCCTCTATATATTAACTCAAAACGTGCTAAGCCTAAACGACAGACTTGCATGCTTTGGAATCATAGGTGACTACGTGTTACAATATCATCTTTGTATTTAGGTTCGGATAAAAATTTTGGAAACAAAATTCTCTTACCATAAATAAATTTTCCACCATATATCACTGTCTCCCATCAATCTCTCTTTCATTACCAGATTTGAAGTGATTTTAAATATGACACAAATCTTTTTTTCTTATTTCATTTTTTCATTTCAAATTCGTGTCTATAGTGTCTATTGGGTAAGTACTAGTACAACGCCAGTATATTACACGGGTGCTTGCTAATTTTTTCTTTCAAATATAAAATTAATGAGGAAAAGTAGTTAAAAATTTAAATACATTTTATAAAAATGTATATATTATTATATATTTAGTATGACATTTTTTATTTGTGCGACTTACCTGTGTTATATAATAATAATTTTTTTCTTAACTTACAACATATAACTACATTAAATATAAATGTATAAATTGAGAAATAATTTTATTTTTTTAATGAATTTTAATAAATATTATATTTTTTTATTAATATAAAGATAAATATAATTTATTTATTTCATATATACAATATGAATGTCAAATCGAAGATCATCAAAAGATGATTAATTTGATATATTATATATGTAAAACCGACAAAAAATACAAAAGTTGTCAACTTTTAAAATACATTTATAATTTAATAGCTAATTGAAGGAAACAAATCAAAAGTCAGGGATATATTAGTCACTTAGTGCCTCACTATGTAAAATTACAAAAAATTAAAGGGTTATATTAGTACGAATGATATTAAATACCTATGTTAGCTAAGTAATATTTATGGAATGTCCGAACCTAGATTAGTAATTATTAATGTATCAATATTATTTGTCCAAACCTAATTACGAAGAATGATTATTTGCCAAGTAAGATTCCGAAGCATCAGAAGCAGTCACGTAGGCTCAGCGCATTCGAAAAATATATATAGGGAATATGATCTAAAAATTAGCCATATTATCAATATATGTATCCCTAAAAATGTTGTCAAGTAAGATTAAAAAGTTAAATACTTTTGAAATTGTCAATAAATATAAAATAAAAATATACAACTAAAATTGATGACTTACAAAAATTCTCTCTCTAGGAGAGCCAAGTTCCCACCGGAGCCCTAATTCTGCTTAAGGCAGCGATTACCCTTGCTGATTTTCGGAAATCTAATCTTATCTGCTTGATGCTTAACCCTCGTATTTACTGAGTTTTTATCTGGCGTTGATCTTTCCTTGTCTTATTTTGGTTTATATTTTACCCCTCTTCTATTTTCCTCTTCTTTTTTCTGGTTTTCATTTTCTTTCTTTCTGCTACAGGTATCCTCGGTTTTCTCAGGTATCGAGTGCCATAAGATCGGTTGTGGCAATGGAGGAAGATATCTCAGCCAAGCTGGGATCGATCCAGCTTGAGGGAAAAGAGTCGGAGGACGTTGAGATTGAACCGGGTGATATCCACCCAAGTAAAGAGGAATGCCTCCGAAGCCTCTTTGGGAAAATTATTGGCCAGAAAATGGCCAACATAGCTGGGATCCAGCGAGCAATAGGGCATATGTGGCAAATTAGGTCTGTGGTCAAAGTGAAGGAGATATCAAACAACTTCTTCCAATTTATCTTCTCTAATTTGGCGGACAAAGAGAAAGTCAGTAAAGGCATCAATTGGTCATACGAGAATCAGTTCCTTAAGCTCCATAACTGGGAAGAAGGTATCTCTGCAGAGCATCCATGCTTCCAGGAGATAGAAATATGGGTCCAAGCCTGGAATATCCTTATCCACTGGATCTCTATTGAGGTGGGAATGAAAAATTGGAAGAATTTTTAATAGAGTCCTTGATGTCTCAATTCCACAAGATGGTCCGCTGGCGGGGAAATGTTTAAGGATCAAAGCTATTCTAGATGTTAACCAACCTCTTCTTCGCTGTACAAATCTCAAGATGGGAGACAAAAGGATTCAAGTGCACTTCAAGTACGAAAGGTTGGTTAGTTGTTGCTTCTACTGTGGCCACCTTGGTCATATGGAGAAAGATTGCAATAAAAGAAGCACAGATATCATCAACGGAGCCCTAACCAGAGGGCTTTACGGCGACTGGATGAAAGCTCAGGACATTTTCTATCCCACAATCCCTAGCACATCTTACTCTAATAACTCATCTCGCGATAACTCCCATCCCCTATTCCCGCATCTCAAAATCCAAACCCCAACTCAGGTTCCCAAAATCTACACTCTCAGCCCCAATCTAACACCAAAACTCAAACAAACCCAAATCATATGGTCGATCTCTCTCTCTCAACTATTCTCCCAGACCCAATTATCCCTGAAGCCTTTAATCCCCATCTCATCCCTCCATCACGATTATCTTCTTTACCCCTGACCCTACCTCAGACTATGGACACAGATAGCAATCCCCTAAAACCTGAGGAACCTATCTCTTATCAATCCAAAACCACCCAGCCCGAAATCCCAGACCCTCTACCCCCAATCACTATGGACATAGTGCACCTTTCCACCGCAACTGACAAACTCGTTGACCCCAATCTACACCTTGACCATATACAACCCTTGTCAGAACCTACTAAACCTAAAAACGGATGGAAGAGGAAACCTCTGAAAGGGATCCACATTGATGATTCCAACACATCAAAATTGCTGAGGAATAAGAGACAGTTTCTAGAAGATGTGGTGACAGTGGATAGTCTAAATGCTGAGACAGAAGCTCATATTGAGAAGAAACAAAAAAAGGAAGTAGTGGTGAGGGAGGCCAGCCCAAAATGGCCCCAAGGGTCTAAATGAAGGTAGCGGTGTGGAACTGTAGAGGTGTGCAGTTTCCCAAATCAAGGAGATTTGGAGACTCCATCACCCCAGTTTTTTCTTTATTTCAGAAACCAAGAGGAAAAATGCTTTTGTCAATACTATTTGTATAAACTTAGGAGTTGGTAATAGTTGGACCTCGGTGGAACCCATGGGCAGGAGTGGGCGTCTTCTCTTAATCTGGGATGAGACAGTGCAAGTTTTTAGCATAATCAAAACTCAGTTCACTATTCAAATTGAATTTTGGGATGAGTCAAAAGCCAAAGTGGGATGGGGGATATTTCTCTATGCAAGCACAGACCAAGAAGAGAGGAGGATTCAATGGCAATATCTGTTAGCTGAAAAACAGAACTGGGGCTCTTATTGGTTTCTAGGAGGAGACTGTAATGACATTACAAAGCCAGAGGAGAAGAAAGGTGGTAGAACAAGGTCCACAGCTTCCTGCCAGAACTTCAACACCTTTATCAGTGACATGGGAATGATGGATCTCGGTTTACTGGGATACCCATATACTTGGTGTAACAACAGAGAATCTGAGGGGTTTGTAGAGGAAAGAATTGACAGAATATTTGGCTCTTGTTCTTGGATCACAGCTAACCAGGGAGCCCAAGTGACAAACATATTCAGAAGTAGCTCGGACCACTGCCTTCTTCTGTTGAATAGCTCAGGTATATCTCCGGCCAAAAAGAAAAGGTTTTATTTTGATTCTCGGTGGCTTGAAAAAAATGGAATCAAAGAGGAAATCATCAAAGCCTGGAGCATTCCCCAAGAAGGCACACCAATGTATTCTCTTCAATCAAAAATCAAACAATCTCGAGTTCAACTCCTGAAATGGAGCAGCAAATTCAAGACAGAAAATACCCTCAGGATTGCTGCAATTAACAAGGAGCTTGAAGCTTTGAATGAAGAAGGGGGTCTTAAAAACTGGAGTAGATGGGACATGCTCAAGAGAGAGCTTCAAGATGCTTATAGCTGGGAGGAAAAGTATTGGCTGCAAAAATCAAGAATCTCATGGCTGAAACATGGAGACAAAAACTCCAAATTTTTCCATGCCCATACTGCCCAAAGGAGAAAAATCAACCATATACATTGCCTCACAAAAGATGACCACACTATATGTGAAACTAAGGAGGAGATAGCACAGTGCATTGAGGAGTTCTATGACAAACTTTTTGCATCAGAGGGATCCATCACATGTGATAGACTGCTTTATGACATGAGGGGAGCCATTACTGCTGAAATGAATTCTGATCTTATGGCACATGTTACCACAGAAGAAATCAGGGATGCACTGTTCAGTATTAACCCTCACAAAGCCCCAGGTCCGAACGGTATGAATTCTTCTTTTTTCCAATTCTTCTGGGATGTTGTTAATAATGACATTTGCTCTGCAGTTCTTAGTTTTTTTGCTTCTGGTAGATTACTGAAGAGTCTCAATCATGCTCTTATCACTCTCATTCCCAAGTGTCACAACCCTATTTCTGTTGCTCAATTCAGACCTATAAGCCTTTGCAATGTAAGCTATAAAATCATTTCGAAAATTCTTGCTTTAAGGCTTAAACCTTGTCTTCCATTATGTATTAGTGAAGTTCAATCAGCTTTTGTGCCCAATAGACAGATTATGGATAATGTTATTTTGGCCCATGAAGTTTTCCACTTTCTGAAGAATCATAGAACCGGCTCTAAAAGCTACATGGCTCTTAAGCTAGACATGATCAAAGCTTTTGATAG